TCATTAAATAGCAAAACCCATATCTAGAATAATGGTCCATAATGCTCAGTATATATCTAGCACCCCCCATACTGGGTTTCTTTGGACCTATTATGTCTGCAAATACTACTTCTAAAGGTTCTTTTGTTTTGAAACCATTTAGCCTATTTGCAGGCAATACCTTGCTCTTATCTTCACAGCAAACATTACAACGCAAATATTTATCACAAGATTTTAACCTTATTCCTTCAGATAACTCAACTGTACGTTTTAGCATTTTAAAATTTACATGCCCCAAACGCCTATGCAATAAATGGATACATTCATCATGAGGCTTTATATTATTAAATACAGTCTGAGCCTCCCCTTTCTTACTATTATCTAATACATATAATGTTCCATTTAAAGCTGCAGTTACCCTTTTGTTATCTTTTTCAATTATGCAATTATTATCCTTAAAAGTAATTACATAACCTAATTTATTTAATACCCTTACTGAAAGCAAATTAAACTTTAGTTGCGGTACATACAACATTTTTATATCCTGGTTTATGTACGGACAACGTGCAAAACCTTGACCTTTCGCTTTCAGGTTCCAGCCATTGGCAAGAGATATATGTTGAGAACTTGTAGACATTTTTATAAATTTTGTCTTATCTCTTGTGATGCAGTGGGATGCGCCACTGTCAACCACCCATAAATTATTCTTCACATCAGAGTTGCTAAACGTGGCTAGTTCAAATGCTTTCTTTGGCTTTTTTACATTCTGGCTTTTTCTCTTTTTGCAGAATCTTGCCAAATGTCCTCTGCCTCCACAATTAAAACACTTTTTAATTGTGTATGCTGTTGAAGATAAATTCTCTTCTTCCAGGTGCTTTACTTTGCTTTGCTGGTTTCTTTCAAGCTTTGAAGATAATTTCTCTTCTTTCTTATCTTCTCTCAGCTCGTCACGCTCACGCCTTCTTCTGGCTTCTTCTAGTAGCCTGCCTGTAATCTCGGTTAATGAGAGGCTTTCTTTTGGCAATACCTCTAACGAAGTCACATAGTCATCATAGCTTTGATCTAATGAAGATAATATTATGTAGACTTGTTGCAGTTCATTAAATATAAGCTCTTTTTCTTGCAAATCTTGAAAAATGCTCTTCATACAGTTTAAATGAACTAACATATCTCCATTCCTCTGAAGATGCGTTCGAAAAAGCTTCCGTGTAAGATTTATATGTGCTCCTACACTGTCCCGAACATAAATCTTCCTGAGGTTCTCCCAGCAGTTTGCAGCATTTTCTTCTCCACGAATATGGACAAGCTGCTGATCACAGAGAGTCAGTCCTATGATGCATAAAGCCTGCTCATTCTTCAGTTTAAAGTCTTGTAACTTTTCTTTATCATCATCATTAGCAGGATCCCAGCTACTCACATCTGGTGGGTTTGCTATAATGTCCCACAAACCTTCTCTGCGTAGAAGTAAACTACATTTCATTGACCATGAAACATAGTTTGTTCCATCCAGCCTGGATATCATGGACAGTTGTGACAAATTTACTTGTGCCATTACTCTTCAGATATTTTGACTATTTTAAACTAATTAAAACAGTTTGTTTTTACAGTAATGTGCAACTCACACCAACTCTCTCTGCTATATCCTGGTTAGTTAGACTATGCTGCTGGGCCCATAACCAATGTTAGGGTTTGGGGATTAACCCCTAGAAGAGTATTGCAGCAGTAGTCAAGCCAGGAAGCCAAACGAGAGTGGAAGGGCCCCAGAGTATACACACACTGAACACAAACACTGTTTGTAGTTTAAATAGTTTTTAATCCAGTTAGAGTTTAAGCATTGTCATTCAGTCCATTAAGTCATTCACAGTATTTCCATCCAGTAAGACTCACTAGTATAGTCCAAGTTAAGAGTCTTTGCAATATCTTTATCAGCCGATAAAGATATCTTCTCCTCCTCCGGTTTCACTCTCCAGAGAAACAAACGCTGGATATTCAGTAGAATTACGCAGTAAATCAGCAAACAGTAGCAAACAATAACAGTTCAGTCACAGGCACTCACAGTCAGTAATCACAGTTAGTCACAGTAAGACACAGTTAGTCGCAGCAGCACACAGTAAGTCGCAGCAGCACACAGTTACAGTCAGCACACAGTAACAGTCAGTAAGCTTTCCAGCTTCTAATGCTTCCTTATATTGTAACTTCTAACCGCACCCTTAATCGGCTAATTGCCTGCTGCATTGTGCTTAAAGTGATAAGCACTTAAACCATGATATCTAAGTTTTATATATTTATTCACCCAAACCATATTTGGTATCAATGTTATACCTAACAAAAGCCACACACCCCGCTTCTTTGAAGCAGTTTCTTCCTGGGCTGGTGGAGCAGCGAGAGAGCGACTGAGAGAGGAACGAGGCAGACACCTGAGGGAGGGAGGGAGACACCTGAGGGTTGGGGCTGAGGGAGGCAGGGCCGAGGCGCTCCCTGAACTTGGTGGTTTGCTGGCAGACGTTTTATTACCCGACTAGGTATCAACATCAGATGTTACCTAGTCAGGTAATGAAACGTCTGCAAGCAAACCACCAAACTCGGATTCTTCTCTCCCCCTCCCCCGGTCCTTGAAAAAGTGTTTGTGCTTGAAACTGGTCCCTGGTACAAAAAAGGTTGGGGACCACTGCACTATACCATATCTTTCAAATATCCTGGAGCACCAAGGAACTAGCAGAGGACTGGAAAAGAGCTGATGTGGTTTCCATCTTCAAAAAAGGGGAAAAAACCACCCAGGAAACTACAGACCAATGAGCCTAACATCAATATCCAGGAAGATACTGGAAAAGATAATTAAAAAATAAATCTGCCAATATCTAGAAATGAGTAAAGTAATAACTAGTGGTCAGCACGGGTTTGTTAAAACAGATCATGCCAAACCAATCTTTTTTTATTCTTCAACATAGTGACTAAGTTAGTAGACCAGTGAAATATTGTGGACATAATATATTTCTATTTCAGCAAGGCATTCAACAAAGTAGATCACAACCTACTTCTTGGTAAGCTAAAAAAAAAAGTGGAATAGATAGCTCCACCACTAGATGGACTCGCAACCGTACTCAATGAGTAGTCCTTAATGAGTCTGTCTACATGGAGGGAAGTAAGCAGTGGGGTGCTAACAAGGTTACGTCTTAGGCCCAATACTCTTCAATACCTTAATTAACACACTTAGATGAGGGAATAGAAGGGGAACTTACCAAATTTGCAGATAATACTAAGCTGGCAGGAATAGCTAACACCCTAGAACAAGATCCAGATGGATCTTGACAAACTTGAACACTCGGCTTTATCTAACAAAATGAAATTCAATGTAGAGAAAAGTAAGGTCTTACACTGGCAAGAAAAACCAAAACTACACATATCAGGGACGTGGTGGCTCAGTGGATAAGATGCCGAGCTTATCAATCAGAAAGTCCAGCAGTTTGAATCTCTAGCGCCGCATAATGGAGTGTGCTCCCGTTCCTTGCCCCAGAAACCTAGCAGTTTGAAAGCATGTAAAAATGCAAGTAGAAAAATAGGGACCATGTTTGGTGGGAAGGTAACAGCGTTCCGTGCACCTTTGGGTTTTAGTCATGCTGGCCACATGACCATGGAATCGTCATCAGACAGCGCTGGCTCTTCGGCTTAGGAACGGAGATGAGCACCGCCCCCCAGAGTCAGGAACTAGCATGTATGTGCGAGGAAAACCTTTACCTTTACTGTACACATATAGACTGGGTAAAACCAGGCATAATAGCAGTAACTGTGAGAGGGATCTTGGAGTCTTAGTGGACAACCAGCTAAATATGAGCCAGCAGTGTGCAGCAGCAGCCAAAAAAGCTAATGCAATCCTAAGTTGTATTAACAGAGGGATACAATCAAGATCAAGGGAAGTACTAATACCACTCTATAAAGCCTTAGACCACACCTAGAGTACTGCATCACATTATAAAAAAGATGTTGAGACTGTAGAAAAAGTACAGAGAAGAGCAACCAGGATGATTAGGGGACTGGAGACTAAAACGTATGAAGAATGGTTACAGGAACTGGACATGGCTAGTCTAGTGAAGAGAAGGACCAGGGGAAACATGATAGCAGTGTTCCAATATTTGAGGGGCTGTGACAGAGAGAAAGGTGTCAAAAGTTATTTTCCAAGGAACCTGAAGGCCAGACAAAGAATAACAAATGTAAACTGATCAAGGAGAGATTCAACCTAGAAATAATGAGAAATTTTCTGACAGTGAGAACAATCAACCAATGGAACAGCTTGCCTTCGGAAGTTGTGGGAGCTTCATCACTGGAGACTTTCAAGGGGAAATTGGACTGCCATTTGTCAGGGATGGCGTAGGGTCTCCTGCTTGGGCGGGGGGTTGGATTAGATGACCTACAAGGTTCCTTCTAACTCTGTTAATCTATCTATCTAAACTGTAGAAGAGCACTCAGTGCTGAGGTCAAGGGGGAACAAATGACAAAATGTCACAGTGACATTATGGTCCTTAACATTGGCATGAAATTTTGAAAAGCATGTTTGAGAGGGTGGAGATTCATGGCTAGCTGAAGACGATTCTGCCATTCTGTGATCAACATCCTATGTCAGGACTTTTTATTGCAAATCTGAAATGTCTGTAAGAAATCATAACCCTTTTAAAGTTACTTTTAATACTGTAGTATTCCTGTTTCTAGACAGGATCCAACTCTGTCAGTCATTCATAAAGTCAGTGGTGGGATTCAGCCAGTTCGCACCACTTCAGGAGAAATGGACTTTCTGAGCAGTTTGGCAAACTGGTTGTTGGAAGATCTCATTAGGGCAGAAAACCAATTGTTAAATTATTTGAATCCCACCACTGCATAAAGTTATTAAGTTGGATGCCTTCAGTGATTGTGTGTGTGTGTGTGTGTGTGTGTGTGTGTTATCATCTTAATCTCTTGAATTGTGAGTGAATTAGGGTTGCTCCTTATGTTTGGGATATTATTGATTATATTGTTCCACTGTCATGTTTATATTATTCTATTTAATATTTAATCATTTTAATATCAATGTTTTGAAGATTTAAGATCAGATGATAGATACAGTATCTGTGTGAGCCTTTATTATTGTTGATTTCTTGCAATTACATGGACAAGTCCCTGCAGTTATATTAGCAAGGATTTTGGAAGTGGTTTCAATACTGCCTTCTTCCAAGGGCTGAGAGGGAATGACTCAGTTGGCTTTATGCCAAAGTGGGACTAAAACTTATAGTCTTTTAAATGTCTATGGAGATTCTGTCATCCAGGTCATGGTTGTCCCAAAGGTGCTTTTTCCAAGAGGCAACTGGACTTTCTGGTTTTTCAGTGAAAATATTTCACTTATAGTCTTTTAGTTTCTTGAATAGTACCTTAACCACCAGCTTGGTTCTTGGAACAACATGCAGATTACTAAAATTTATATGCTTATTATACAATCACCATCTCAGCTGAACTAGGAAGGTCTTTGAGTATATTAGTTCTTTAAGAGTTATTTTAAAAAGCAGAAGCATTATATTAAGCCATATCACATTTGACTGGATTTATTTAGTGTGTAGTGAAATAGCCAGTGCCAGTATGATGTGTAAATCTTGGTGTACAAATGAATTTAGGAATCCTTGATTAAAGGACTAAAGAACCATTTTCCAGAAGACAAGTTTGTGAAGTTGCTACCTATAATCCCTATTAGGCTCCTACTTTATCTTATTTTTTGGAAGTAGGCACACTTTCCACTTAAGCATTTGATGTAGCCACTTACTATTTTATTTTCCAAAAATGTTTTTTCACCTTATGTGGATCCCAGTTATCCTTGGAAACAGAAATAAGGAGTGATGTTTTGCTTTCCAAATTAATTTAAAAAGTAGAATAAATTAGACAGAAAGTCTTGCATACAGAGGCATACCCTTTGGATTATTAAAGTAAAGGCATTTCTAAGTACAGTGTCCTGTATAACAATGATGTCTACAAATAAACCAAAGAAGACTTTTAAAAATATGGTTAAAAGATAAAAATGTAAACATTTAATTTAATTTATGGAGGTACATAAGTTAAAAAGTTAATATCCAGCTTTTTAACTTAGAAGAATTCAAGCTGCAGCCTACGTTTTTCATTTCAGTTTCATTCACCATTCATGACCTACTTGACCATTTGGAGATTTATCAAGCTACTAAAATGTGTCCTTTACTGCAATTCTGTAATTATATCAAAGATATAAACTGATTCATATGATATAAATTCAGATATAAATGGAACCATCTCTCCGAAAAGTCAATAGAGGGTTGTCATTAGATAAAATGCACTGACTGAAGCTTTTGGTTCATGCATGATAGTTTACTTAGTAAATATAATCCTGCTTCATACTGGGTTCCAAAGTGAAACAAGAAGCAGCTGATTTTGTCTATGATGATACCAATAAGCATTTCATATTCTTAATTTTTATAACAATGTTTGCTCTTTACTTGAAGTTTGGTAGCTCCTCCTTTGATGAGACCACAGATGATTTCTTCTACCCTTTCTGGGTCTTTGATATGGACAGTTTTCTTCTGAAATTCTGGCATCTGAAAAAAAGTAAAAATCTGAATATTAATTTTACATATAAATATTTATTAAGGTAAGTAAGTGACTCTAGTATGGAAAAATGTTACCATAGTAAAGAACGTAAAAACTAATATACTTTTAAATAGGAAAAGCAGAGGACATATTAATTCAACACAGGCATAAATTATACAATCAGCCTATCTTTTACAGAACAGATACAGTAGTTATAAATATATTAAAATTTCTGAAGATATCAAACATAATGCTGGTACTGCTGTTACCACAATGGTGTATGCAGATATATTAATAGTACAATTTAACATGAAAAATTTAAATTTAAAAATAGTTATAGGTTACTATTGATATTTGATTCAACTCTGATTTATTATGAATATGAGTACAGGTCTGAATATTCACATCTCCCTGGATTTCATTCATAGTTTTCTATATACTATAAATACACCATTTATTTATAACATACAACAATAAATACTACCAGTATCTTATATTCCCAACAAATCATATGGGAGAAAATCAATACAAAAAGAATTCAAAATTCGATGCTTCAAGCATGTCTTCCAAGAAAAGACTTCTCCAGTGCACATCTCTATTATTTACTTCAAGTAGGAGTGACAAACAATTAGATCATCAGCAGTCGTATTATTGTTAATAAGAACATACATAATGCTATAATGGCATGATAAGATTATCATTTGAGGAAGGATGACATGATTCTTGTTTATCTAACAATTAATTGGCTTATTAAATTTGTAGTTCTAGACACACACACACATATATACACACATATACATATACATGTACACACATACATACAAACATATATACTATATATATAAATGCTTATTTAATTGTAACAAAATCGTAAATGCTTAATCATACCTGTGGGTCAAAGCTAAGGGAAAGGAGGGGCCTCTCTCATCTTTTTTTTTGGGGGGGGGAAGAAGGAGGATATAAGAAGCCACATGGTGCCTGGGGGCTGGGAAGATCTGGACGGGGAGGAACCGGTTTCCCCTCAAATGGAACAAAAGCAGAGCCATCTCATAAGTGAATCAGTCATTAAATAAATCATGAGGTTAAGTGAATCCAGCTTTCCCTATTGATTTTGCTTGCTGGAAGCCAGCTGGGAAGATCCCATGTCAAAACCATGTGATTGCAGGATACTACAATTGTTGCAAATAAATGCCAGCTGCTAAGCGCCTGAATTTTGATCATGTGACTGGAGGAACCACAATGGTCATAAGTGTCAGGGCTGGTCATAAGTATGTAGACTGGTGGTAAGTCACTTTTTCATAACTTCTTTTTTTTAAATAAAGTTTTATTGAGTTTTAACAAAACAAATAAAACATCTTATTTGAGTACAGCATCGTTCCGGGTTATCACATTTCCATACAGACACAGTTTCATATGCATATTCACCTTATGTATTCAACAAATCAGAGGAAACCTCTCCTTCCTTTGCCAGGTGTGGCTGCCTGGAGTTGGGGCAGGGCAGGGGGGCAGGGCTGGAAGCTCCTACGAAGACTGGCTTCTAATAACCAAGCAACAACCCCCCCCCATTGGCTTCCACATAAGAAGAAGACTCCCCAAGGCTAAGCTCCAGGTTTCTCCCACAACTTCCAAGCAGAAAAGGGTCCCTCCCATGTGGAGGCCGAAGGGGGTGGGTGTTGAGCCCAGAAAAGCTTGAGCTCTCACCTGCACAAACAGGCTGGTTATTAGGAGCCCATCTTCCTTGGCACTCTTTTGGTCTGTGCATTTGGTCTCTCCCCCCCCCCCCCATGACAAAAGAAAGCCAACTGGGCTTCTCCTTCCCTCCTATCCTTCCCCCTGCTCCCTTCCACCCACTCAATCAGCAGAACGTGCTGGAAATGCGTATTGGCTTTTCCAACATGCCTTTCTCCGGCACTCATCTGCAATTCTTCAAGTTCCTCCAGGCCTGGCTTGCTGGGGGGGGGGGAGCAGCCCTGACCTCCCCTCCTCCCCCCCCCCCGCGGAGCAAGCAAGCTGAAACAGAGATCTCGCTGGGGGGAAAGAGCGGAGATTGGAAGGCGCAGGCAACAGAAAGCAGCACTTTTCAAAGGCGGCAGCTTCTGTCTTCTCTTGCCTGTGCTTTCCTCGATCTCCACTCTTTCGCCCCAGTGAGAACTATGTTTCTGCTCACTTTTCCTGTGCTTTCCCCAGGCAGCGATGGCTGGGGCTGTGGGGGGGGGGGGCGGCAGCAGAGCAGAGCACCCAGAGGGACAAGGAAACTGACACCGACGCTCCATTCTGGACCTCTGAATTGGATGGTGAGCGCAGACTTGCCCACTCCGCCCCCTCCCATCACCACCAGCCAGTACTTTTCCTGGGCTGTCCCTACAGCCTGCAGCCTTCCAGGCCAGGAGAGGCGAGCTGGAAGGTGCGGAAGTGCTGCACAAATGCAAGTAGCACAGTGCTCCTGCACCTTCCGGCCATCTCCATCGCTGCTTTAGCCCGCCTGTGCCGCCAGCCTCCTCTTTCTGCAACAGCACATTACCTCATCCTGGCTGGTGAGGGCTGTGCTGCTTTTTGCAGATTTGCGCTCGGCTGAAAGGTGGGAGCCAGCAGGTGGGTGCAGCGTGGATTAATTGCTTTGGGGGGACATTTCTCTGCAGCCCACCAAAATTTTCTCACGGACCACCAATGGGCTGCAGCCCACTGGTTGACAACCACTGCTTTAAAAGATTTAAGAACTTTACCAAAATTATATAAAAGTGATAGAAATTTATCCAGCTGATGGATAAATTATAAAAGGTCTATATGAAATATATATGATGGTTTATATTTGCATCCATTACAATTTAACATTCCAAAAATATTCATAAAAATATAATATCAGTGTTGTTCCTGAATATTCATGCAGGCTTACTCTGGCATTTTCTTTTTATTACTGTTTCTCAAAAATAATGGATAAGAGAGCACACATTTGTTGTTTAGGGCCACAATTATGGAGTAATCTAAGTAGCATTTAGGTAAAACAGTATAGTGTAAAAACAAATTAGAAGGAGATGGGAGAAAAGAACCATATGAGCATTGGCAGAATTCAATGAAAGCTTTAGCAGAGAAAATGCATAACCTTTCAGTGATATCTTTCTAAAAATAACATAGCATATATTTTGAAGAAAGATAATCAGGGCTTACGATATTATTTTTAAAAATTTTCAAAATAGATAAAGGTAGTGGTGGGCTGCAATTTTTTTAACAACCGGTTCTCTGGCTGGGTAGACGTGGCTGGTTGGTCATGCGACTGGGTAAGTGATGTCACTTATCACACCCAGCCCTGCCTCCCGGCCACTTGCCTCAAAGGAACAAGTAGGATTCAGCTAGTTGGGGCTAATTGTTCTGACTCAAACCTGGTTCCAAGAAAGCAAACACAAGACAAAAGCAGCAGTATAATCTGTTTAAGTTTCAGCTAAGAATCCTGTTTCTTCACAGATAAAAGGCTGCTTCCAACTAATTAGCTCCGACAAGAAAGAGCGTTGCCAAGTTTTTTTCAAGTCTGACAAAAAACGACAGATAAGAAATAGTTTAGAAGAGTCTTCAAATACCAGCTGTAATGTCCACGAGGCTGAGTTCAAAACTTTTTTGCCTTCTGCAAAGGTTAATTTCACAGCTGGCTTTTATCTTCTTGAAGGAGGGGCCATTACCTTGCAGCCTTACTCCCGAGTCGCCCATGCTGTTGTAACTGCTCTTTCCTCCGAGCAATCCTTCGTGCACGTGCACTTGGCACAGGCTCCTCAGGAACCTCCTCATCACTGCTGCTAGCCCCCACAATCTCTGAAGGCAGCAATCCACTCCCTAATGGTCCTGGCCCCTCATCTGAGTCCTCGCTCTCCTCAGCTGTCTGTACCTGCTGCCGGCTAACCACAACACTAATCCCATCACTGGCTAGTCCAGCCCTGCCCATTTTCATTTTTGGGGAGTTTTGGGGCCATGTTTTGGGTGATTTCTAAGCTGTGTTTCCGGCCAAAATCAGCCTGAAAACAGCCCCCAAACAAGCCATTTTTCAGGCCTGAAAAATGGCTTGAAAACGGCTTTGCCGGTTCTCTGAACCATGCAGAATCAGAACAAGGGGTTCAGGCAGACCAGTCTGAACCTGCAGCAGCCCACCTCTGGATAAAGATCCAAATGCTTAAGTATTTTCAAAATTATCTGTCCTTAAATATTTTCCCTCTGGCATAAATACAGGAAAAAGAACTTATTTTAACTTATTCTTATAAAAGTAATCTATAAAACATTTTCTCTCTATATTAGTTTAATAGATTTACAGTTTTATCAGTAGACTACATTTTCATAAAATATCCCTGGAGGAAAGTACACTAAGCTGAAACCATACCAAAATCTTGTTTCTGGTTTAGATTTCTTGTCTGAGTTTACATAACGGAAGAGCATTGGAAGAAAATTAATACGCATCCTTTAAATCAAAATTATACTATCTTTTTCTTTCTTTGTTTCTCACTTTAGGCATTCTTATCTAAGGTGTACAGGTATAATACAGCAGGATTTAGTGGTATAAATCAAGGATCCCAGGCTGAAATGTACTATGATTGTAAACACTGTCAAATATTTTACTCACATTATTCCCCCAAATTCCTAGAGTCTTAATTCCTAAAGTTTGCTAACAAAAACAGAAAGAAAGAGTTAAGCGATGCCATATCCTCCCTCTCACAGTGCCTGGAGGCTGTTAGGGTCTGGATGGCGAACAACGGGTTGAAACTAAACCCTGGCAAGACTGAGCGACTCTGGATTTGGGGTTCATTGGCTGAGGGAGAATTGCCACCTTTGGTCTTGGATGGGGTGGCACTATGCCGAACAGATCCTGTGTATAATCTGGGTATTCTCCTAGACTCACGACTTCTGCTTGAAGAGAGGTGGTGGTTGTGGCCATGATGACCTTTGTGCAACTGTGGGTTGTACACCAATTGGGCGTTGGTCCTTACCTGACACGCCATTTCTCTGGGGATGAGGATCATCCAGAGAGTGG